TATAGTTCAGGCTGCCACTGAACTAAGTATATAGCCCAGATGAGTTTCAAATTTGCAGCAATCCTCCTGCCTCTGCCTCCCCAGTGCTGGGATTACACGTGTGCACCATCACACCCAGTTTAATAATTTATTCTTGTAGTGTGAGCTCTGCTTTCCTTCCTCTCTATGTCTTTTGCTCATGCATTCTTCTGCTGTAAGATTTTTCCATTTTTGCTCTTCTTTCTGTGGAAAAACGTATGCCTCCCTAGTTATGAAGCAGTTTTTCCCGCCTATCAAGAATTCTGTTGATTCCTTTTTTAAAGTTCTTGATTATAGATTCCTCTGGTTACAGTTACCAGAATGTACGTTTTTTTCCTAATAACTTGTGAGCACTATGATGCTACCACTAAATTTTGGTTTTCAGCATGTCTCAGTATCATTCATGTGGGATAATTTAATATGTTTTGAATTGAATTAGAAAATGGGAATTGTTTCTGTTCTTAAATTATGACATTTCAAATGGACTTTTTAACCTTCTTTGTGTTAACAATTTACCTTTCTTATTTGCTGTGTAGATATTAATTGACAGAGGCTTTTTGAGGGTAAACAACTGGATATGGCACTTCTGATTTTCTAAATCTCTTACAATTTGAGAACTTTTTGGGGGGCCAATGCTGGGTATGGAATTCGGGGGTTCTCACATGCTAGGCAAGTGCTCCACCATTAAGTACATCTTCAGCCTTTTTAAATTTTATTTTCGAGACAGCTCTTCCTGATTGCCCAGGCTGGCCTTGAATGTGGGACCCTACTGCCTCCATTCTCCTGGTTCCTGGTAGTGTAGGGGTCTGCCACCACATGCAACAAGAACGGTTTTATAAATTAACATATAACCAGTCTAGATTATAATTCCAGCAGCAAATTTGTACTTTAGAAAAAGAATAATAAAATAGTAAAGCAGTTTATATATATATATATATATATACTTGTATGAGAATATTAATAACTTTTTCTTAATATTTTTGTTTGCTTTAGTACATTGCATTTTGTTTTGCTTTGTTTTTCCAGTGAATATGGCTTTGCTGAAAAAGTAGTTGAGGGAATTACTGTTTCTGTAAATTCTATTGTCATCAGAATTGGAGCAAAAGCTTTCAATGCGTCTTTTGAACTTTCTCAGCTGCGGATCTATAGTGTCAATACAAACTGGGAGCATGGAGATTTAAGGTTTACTCGTATTCAAGATCCACAGAGAGGAGAAGTAAAGTTTTTTTCTCTTTAAAGCTTTTAGTGATAAATAAAACAAGATATTTAAAACAATTACATCTTCTGGCCGGCTGGATTCACATACTACTAGATTTCTTCACCTTGTCTTATAAATGTGCTTTTCTCTTTGTTATATTTAGTAATTTAAGTATAAGATGGGCATGTTTTAATGCCTTTACTTTATTAAATCCTTCACGTTATAGAATTAATGATCTCTATTTTAACTCCTCGGCTACTGATTGAATTTTAAATTTACAAAACTAAAATATAGTACTTCAATGCCTTTTAATCACATGACCTGAGTGATTTTTATACTGTATGTGAAATTTCTTAGAATAAAAATATTAACAGTTTGAAGGGGCTGGGGAGATGGCTCAGTGGAATAAGTGCTTCCCTGGCAAACGCAAGGGCCTGAGTTCTAATCCCTGGTTCCGCAAAAAAAAAAAAAAAAAAAAAAAAAAAAAAAATTAACAGTTTGAAAAATGATGAATATAATTGATTTTTATGTATGTAATTGTTAAGATGTTACTGAATTTGATGGAAATTTTAAAATTAAAAGCAGAATGACCAACATTTCCAGAATGTCATAAAAGTTAGCTGAGAAGATAGTTTTCGTTTTATAGATCTACATTTTTATCATTTTATTTTATATGAGTATGTGATGCTAATCTTCCTGTTCTCTTAGGTTTTGACATTTAAAGAAATAAATTGGCAGATGATTCGAATAGAGGCAGATGCTACCCAAAGTTCACATCTTGAAATTATGAGTGCTCCTGTTCGATTAATAACCAACCAATCAAAAATCAGAGTCACACTTAAAAGAAGAGTAAGTCTTTTTTTATTTATTTCTTAACGATTAGAATTGCTAAGAAAGTTTAGATAACTTTTTATGTGAAATATTAGCAAATTATGAGTGGCATATTAAAAAAATACAAAATAAAAGGAAATGTAGTACCCTAAAGTAATATTTGTAGAAAATCACTATAATTATGGTCCTTCCATTTTTCAGATTTAATATTTACATCTTCAAAAATTTTTATTTATGTATTTTTTAAAATTAATTTTATTGAGAAACAAATAGCAATGAGAGTTTCAAAACCGATTAATAGTACAGTTTCAATAATTAGTACATTGCATATTGTTGTCTTTGTAGTGGTTATTCATAGTACAAGATGCAGACATGATATCCTGTCCAAACTATTACTACAAAAAAATTTTTATTTTTGATAAACTGAATAGATTCCTCCCTCAGTTGCCCAGTATTTGTTTGATCCTTACTGTCTTATAATTTCATTTCTAGGGGTGGAAGTGTAGCTCAGTGCTAGAGAGCTTGGCTGTATATGCAAGGCTCTTGGTTTATCCCCAGAACTGCCCCAAAATGAAAAGCCCAAAAAAACTCAGAAGAAAATAATTTCATTTCTCCTTTTGAATCTTGCTTAGAAATAAACAAACAGCATAGCCTCCATAACTAGTAGTCTAGATCCTTAGCATTAGTAGGTAATTTAAATATGACTGGTAATTTAGTTAAGTCAGAGCGATTATTTAAAGGTATCAGAACTTGAGATTCAAGGGCCAGCAAGATAGCTCAACTGACTAAATGCCTGCGTAGGCAAGTGCAGGGACTGGGTTCGATCCCCAGCACTACCTGCCATGCTGGCCTTACCCCTGGGCATGCTGAGCCAAGCACCAAGTCCAGTTGTGGTAGCATGTGCCTGTAATCCCAGCTTTGGGGAGGCTGAAAATAGGATCACTATGAGTCCGACCTATGTAGTGAGACCCTGTACCAAATACATTCAAAAGAAAAAAAGAACTTGAGATTCACTATGGCTTTGATGAAATTTAATGAGGAAGTGTTGATAGTTTTTAAACCAGGGGTCAACTGAAGAAGAGTCAACGAAAAGCTTTTTGTACTACTCAGTATGAATAATTATTAAATAAAAAAATTTTTTTTTGTTTAGAGTGCTTAATATAGGTATCCTGTTAATTAATTTCAATGTTCCTTTCTCTGCCAGAATTGGTTAAATTAATATGGGTAATTTTATGATTTGTCAAGTATAATGCAAAATTATGCTGTATAACTTCTTATTGAAGTATAGGATTTGTCAATTTTGTATTACTACTATTGTCTTAATACTAGGAGATAATCGATCCTTATTTAATTCTGTTAAAAATTTAAGCTTTTATATAAATATATAATAATAGTTTTACTGTTTTTAATATATTCTTGGCATAATCTTAAAATCATTTTTTTCTCACAGTTAAAAGACTGCAATGTCATAGCAACAAAGTTAGTTCTAATATTGGATGATTTATTATGGGTTTTAACGGATTCACAGTTGAAGGCTATGGTACAATATGCAAAATCTCTTAGTGAAGCAATAGAAAAATCAACAGAACAAAGGAAGAGTATGGCTCCTGAACCCACACAGGTAGGCTATAAATAAAAGGAAAAATACTTAATTTTTGGGTAAATAGTTTAAAAACTAAAGCTTATTTATTTTATTTTAGTTTTTACTTTTTTGGTAGCAGGGATTGAACTCAGGACCTTGCACTTGCCAGACAGGCACTTAAGCTACCGAGCTATCTCCCGAGCCCCCACTAGTTTAAAAACTAGAGGTGTTAGTTGTTTTCTTTATATGAAATTGACTTTAAGACCAAGACAAAAATTGTCTTTACCTAAATATCTTACTGTATAATTATACGTATTTGATAGCTATATAAAACAATTACATCTATTAGTATGTATATAGTGCTCATTTTGTTTAGAGTTCAGTAGTAAGGACTAGTTATTGATGACATGAAAGTATTTGATGTTATAATACATCTTTATGGAAAGCTAAAAAAACATAACGAGAACCTGAATAACACCTAGGTAATTATAGGTATGAGAACGTGTTGAGAATTGATAGCCCAGAGAACTTGAATTGCTGAAATTGAAAACAAAACTTTTGTTAAGGTTTTCTAGTGGCTGGGGCAAAAAATGAGGAAATATTGAGGTGTTATTACCTTCTTAAAATCAGAAACTTTACTTTTCTGAAAAAATATTTGCTAGTCTTTCTCAGTACTTATTTCTTAGGGCTGGGATATAGAGATCTTTGTAGAAGGGACATGGGAAACTCCAGTAGGTCTTTGATAAATTTATTGAAACTACAAATAAATCTTCTATATTAGGGCTGGCGAGATGCAGGGATCGGGGTTTGATCCCCGGCACCACATGCCATGCTGGCCCTGCTGCCGGGTGTGCTGAGCTGGCCACAGAGTCCAGTGTGGTGGCGGATGCTTGTAATCCCAGCACTGGGGAGGCTGAAAACAGGAGGATCACTATGAGTCCCAGCTGCAGAGTGAGACCCTGTACCAAGTACATTAAAAAAAAAAAAGAACTGGGTATTGAACTCAGGCTGTTGCCCTTGCCAGGCAAGCACTTATTCTATTGAGCCATCTCCCCAGCCCCTAAAAAAAATCTTTTATATCTACCTCTAATAAAAATTTATTGCATATTATAAAATATTACGTCAGTGAGGTTTTTTTTGGTCACAGTAATCATCTCAGGTACTTAGTATGTTGTGATCTATCTGGCTAGGTACATGGAGTGGCATATAGTTTAGGCTTTTCACAGCTGTCATTGGCTTTCTTTAGCATTGTTCTTGCCAGCCTGTTATGTCTTAAGGCACACAGGTACACACTTTAATGAAAGTAAGTATCATCTGTGTTTTCAGGGACCTTAGAATGTAATGGAAAATGAAATATAAAACAAATATTATAGTTCAGTGTAAATGTGGGCGTAAAGAACTAAAGGTAGGGAAGGTGCAGGAGCTATAGAAGCATGGAAAAATTGTAATTAATTGTTTGCAGAGCCTGGAAAGATTTTACAGAGATTCTGAGATTGTGACTTAATTACGAGGAGTACATTACAGACAGCATGAAAGAAAGGATTTCAGAAGAAATAGAATTTGCAAAAGATGGTATTGTTAAAGAACGTGGAATATTTTTGATACAGTTAAGGAGGTTTGGTGTTCTGGGCATATATTACAGCTTTCCAAGTTTTGTGTTTTAAGGAGAGCAAGTTGTACAACTTCCCATTTGAGATGTGTTTTTTCTTAAACTTGATCTGAGAACGTACTTGCCTTAGGTAGCACACTGGTCCTTCTTCCACAGTGCTCTTGATTTACTTTACAACTGAAGGCCACGCAGAATTCTTACTCATTCTAAGTCTGTAAAGGACTTGTCTGGGGAGACCAAACACTCTGGGAATAAGACAGGCGGTTGGAAGTATGGCTGTTCAGTTAGAAATTGACAACTAATGCCCATAACTAGTCAGGTGATTGCCATTTCTGTTTTGAACACATCTGGAGGAAAATCTAATAATTACCAGCAGCTATATTATTAAAAATAATTTTATGTAATAGGCCACATTGTGAGTCCTGGTATGTAACTTGGAGGAGTTTAAAGAACTGAGTCACATTGCTTAAAAAGTCTTTTCTTTCAGTCTACCTATTTATGTGAACAAGGTTTTCCTGAGCTTGTCATAAAAACAAGTACTGTAGTTAGACTGTATCCCCCATGGAAAAGGAGGGCGACTGTAGCACTAGTGGTACCACAGACAGAGTCTGTTAAGCCTTTGAAAATAAATGGGGGAAGCACACAGGGAAGTAGTTTTTCTGACTGGAATCAGTTTAACAGTTAATTAAGAAGATTTGTTTAGGGCTGGGGAGATAGCTCAGTAGCATAAGTGCCTGCCAGAGAAGCTCAGGGTCCTGAGTTTGATCCCTGGTACCAGAAAAAAAAAAAAAGCTTTGTTTAAGCCCCTGTAATTCAAAAATTCCATGGTTTATCCAATTTTTCCATTTTTAAAAAAACTCCTGTAAATCCCATTCTTTTATTTTCTTTTATGTATTTGGTACAGGTTCTCACTACAGAGCTTGGACTCCTAATGATCCTCCTATTTTCAGTCTCCCCAGTGCTGCATACACTACAACTGGACTTGGTGGCCTGTTTACTGGGCTCGGGGGTGGGGCCGGCACAGCATGTGGTGCTGGGGATTGAGCCCTGGTCCCTGTGCTTGCCCTGTCTGCTGAGCTGTCTGGCTGGTGCTTATCACTCTGAACTTGTTAATTTTTTTTTCAGTGGATGATTTGGTCTTTATTTTGATAGTGTTTTCTTTTCCTTTTTTGAGGCAGGATCTTGCTACATAGTTCAGGCTGACCTTGAACTCATTATGTTGTCTAGGCTGGCCCCCAGTGTACAGCAATCCTTCTCTCCAAGCCTCCGGAGTCCTGGGATTGCAGGCATGTGCCATCACACCCAACCATTTTGATAATTATTGCAAAAGTTTCGGGTTCAGTTTTGTGGCTGATAGGTCCTTATCTCACAGCATACTTATGTATATGACCAAGAGCATACTTGCATAATCATTTTAGATTACCAGAGGTTCATTTGTGGCTTTACACTTCCACAATACTCTATACCTTTTCTTTCTTGGAAGAAGAATATTTGAAGTCAAAACCTATTTATCTCCTGCTTCTTGGGTTTTTCATCTATATAAATTCAGAGGATACATCTCTTTTGAGAGGACACAAGTCGCTTACAGAATTAAATTAATATCCCCAAAGCTTCTACAAAGCCACAAGTTTTTTGTATAGGAAGGACATATGTTGTATACAAGACTTAGCAGTTATTTTCTTTTTA